TTTTGACCGTATCTATTATTGTCACTGAGAAACTAAAACAATTAAATTTGCTAAAACTACACTGTACCATGTTAGTAACACACATGATACTAAACAGATCTGCCTTAAAGAAAGTTTTAGAAAGAAATATTGTCACTCAGTGTTGTTAATAAACTCAAGAAATGAGTTTATATTTCCAGTATGATATAAATGAACCACTCCCCACACAAATAGTTTTTGTCTAATGAAAATTTTGCTGCGATTATTTATAATTGGCAGTATTTCTTCCAGAAGAAGGTAGAATAAGAATGGTACTTATTCTAAAGTGCATTAATAAAACCACATTTTTAAATTATCATGGGCCTTGACTATACTAATACTTGGTTCTAATTAGTAATCTTTTTTTCTAAATATGATTAACCACTTTTGAATACCATTCTCCACTATTAGTATTTATTTACTCAAAGCATTAATAGCATTCTGTAGACATACATTTTATAATTTGTTCCCAAATTTACCCATTATTAATTATGGGTAACTATTAAGTAGTAAATTTAATACTATTTGGGGATGCTTGTCTTATATCAGTGCCACTCTCAGGAATTACTAAGTGACATTTTTAATTGATTATGTAAAACTCTTTCCAACTACATAATTATAATTTCTTTCATTCTCATGCTGTTGAGAGATGAGAACTTGTTTGTGCCTTTCATAACTTGTTTAAAGCAGTTTTGAAATTCATTTTAGGATCTGAGGTGGCTGTTAATTACACTGGCAAGATTATTTTGAATGCAAGATTTTGACCAGAGTTAATTTATGAATAACAGTCTGAAGTTTGATGCTGACTGACTTTTGGAATAATTGTTTTGTTAGTGGATAATTCTAACACGGCAGAATACCTATTCAAGATTGTCATCAAAAACATTCACAAATGTCTCGAACTTAGTGAAATAAAAACAATGATTTCATTAATAATTTTTAAAATATTTATTGCATGTTAAAACAAAAAGATTGAATTTTTTTCAGTTAAAACATGTTCAAATTAATTTCACCTATTTTCACATTTTTAATGTGACCACTAGAAAATTTTAAAATGCATTATGTGGTTCACATCTGTTGGACAGAACTGATTGAGATAATCACAAGTTGACTTACCTGTTCACTTTTCATATTTGTTTCTATTCTAATATTCCCTAAAGGTGTAAAGAGTAGACACCAGATAATTTTCCAGTGTCTGTGGTTTCTAAGAATCCCACATACCCAGTATTTGTTTCAAAGAAAAAATTTAGAGAAAATGCACTGGACAGTTTCTTGATAATTTTTACTATGCTGTAAACTACATACTTCCAAACATGAATTATTAAATGTTTATTTTCTGGGAACTTGCCAGACTGTATATCTTCCTTGGTCCTTGCAAAGACATCATATAGAGTCTGAAGTTTTGTTGGAATAACCTAGATGAAATATTCTCCAGATACCAATTCTGATCCTAGATTGACCTTGTAATTCTTTAATTCTGGGCTCAGTCTAATTCTATTTTCTTTATTTTCTTGCTTTCTCGTTCCTTTTTGTTTGTTGTATTATTATAATATAGTTTTAAACTTGCTCTCACACCAACCCTATTAGGAATCTATGAGAATTATATAACCGGCAAAGGTTTAAATCTGACCTACTTAGCTGAGGGCCTACGTGATTATTCTGTCAATAATAGCTGACACTTATTCGAGCATTTATTATAAGTAAAGCGTATACCCAAGCATTTTACATGCGTTGTCTCCTTTAAGGAACCACCTTTTACACATGGAGAAATTGAAGCTTATAAAGATTAAGTAACTTGTCCAAAGTTGTATACTAGTAAGCGTAATTTGGATTCAAACCCTGGTTTGGCTTGGGAGCTTCGTCTCAAATACGATACTCTTTGGGTTGACATATATTAATAGATGAAGTATTAGATTGTAGATACCTGATGAGAAAGCCTTTGTAGTCATTAAATGCTAAAGAGGTATCTTTCTGAGACTGAGCCAAGCAAAAAATTACAGTGAGAAAATTAGGAAGAAAAAGCAAAGTTGAAGAATTAGAGTCTCATCTTTTGTATAGTTTGCCCCTTTCGTTTGAAGAAGTCCCAAGGATTTTATCTGCTAAAACACTGAAGAGTGAGAAAATATTGTTTCAGCTAGAAATACTTTAGCAACTTCGTGGTTTTAAGTCATTAGGAACTCTAAGTGAACTGTTGATTTCTTCCACAGATCTAATAAACTAGGTTCCTCTGGTTTACCTTGCCAGTTTGAATGCTTGAATTCTTTTAAAATTAATGTGTCCTTTATAAGTATGTGACTATTGTATGCTAGCAATGTGCTGTTTATTAACAATGCCTGTTTATGCTACTTTTTTAGGGTCCTGGTTGCTGTTCTGATCTTGCAGTTTCTTTTCACTATGTTGACCCTACAACTATGTATGAGTTAGAATACCTCGTTTATCATCTTCGTCCATATGGTTATTTATACAGATATCAACCTGCCTTACCTGAAAATATACTAAGGGAAATAAATCAAGCAAACAAAAATGAAGATC